ACAGAACGCCATTAAAGGCGGCTGCAAGCTCAGAAGTGTGGAGAAATGTGCAGTGGAGCCTTATGAACAAGACGACTCTGCTCATTGATGTTCCTCCAAAGGTTGTAGGAGAAGAAGACGTACAACGGCACGGTCGGGAATGGAGAATATGATTTTTGTCTTCACTCGAGATGACTCTCGTTTTTTCCGTCCCCATATTTACCTCCTATTTCAATTATCATTTTCACTAAAATTTTTATTTATTTTTGTAAGGAATGGAGCGGGAATTATGTCTACAGGGCAGGGACGTCTTCCCCGTCCCCATCCTTGCCTCCTATTTCAATTATCATTTCTACAAAAATTCTCTTTTTTTTTTTTGCGAGGATCAGACCGAGGATTATGTCTACAGGGCAGGAATGCCTTCCGTGTCCCCATCCGGTAGGGACATATTTCCTGTACCCATCCTTGCCTCCTATTTCGATTATCATTTCTACAAAAATTCTCATTTATATCTACAGGGTCGGGACGCCTCCTCCATCTCCATCCTTGCAAGGAATTCACGAGAATTGAGAATTTTTTCTCATTTTTAATATATTTTTAAGAAATATTCCTCTCGAGTAAAATTTTAACGGACAATTTCTATTAAAAAAACATGTAAAACATCGTACTAAGCAAAAAAAAAACAAAAAAAATACTACATAGTCCAACAAAATTTCTAAAAATTCAAATTTTAATATTACAGGACATATATATATAATAATATTTAAGTGACCATTATATTAGATACATTAAATAATTCATCATCAATTCGCCCGACACAATAAGAACTCCAACTTTTCTTTGAATACGACGTCGAATTCACAAAACTTTGACCAAAATTAATGAAAATGTAAGTATGTGCAGATGAGATTGGAAGCAAGTGAAGAAGGAAAAGACATCAATAAAAGCATGCAGATGTCCTTTTAGACACACACATTAGATTAGACTGAGTAAGTAATGGTCAACAAATAATTGCTTCAACCTGAGGGATCTCATTCAAATTTGCCTTAAAATCTAGGGCTGACCTCCAACATTTATTATCACTTCTTTACGGCCACGTGGCTCTCCATAGCGAGAGAAGCGTCGGAGGAGTTAGCCAATAAGGAGCCGAGAACGAGTCGACCTCACCTTAGCATGACCCGACATCCAAAATGATACCCTCTATTTATGGCTTTGTTCCATGGCCTCCTCAACATGTTCGTCATCTGTACATGAAACCATTGCTTAATGAAAACTACTCAGTAAGTGATCCCATTGCTACGATCGAGAAATGCAAGCACATGCCATAATGGTTTTGTGTTTTATGGGACCTAAAATCAATTCTATAGACTTGGATTCATGTTTCATTCTCGAGTGGATTTGAATGAATAGTATTTTTTGTGATATTCGAGATCCCGAATGAAAACTTAAATAAATGTTAGGTCATGCATGTAGTAGCAATCTTAAAGTGAGCCTCTGGTTGGGTCAGTACACATTTGTACTGACATATGAGAATAATTAATCCATTGTCTATGGACATACAACGTGCATGGGATTCTGCATAAAAATCATGGTTACACAGGATGATGCATATAATACTTCCATGTGATCATGACATATATTCTCTACGAGGCTAACATACATAATCATGATATTTCTAACGTATTTAAGATGTCCCACATTGGTTAGGAGGAGAACAAAACACCATTTATAAGGGTATGGAAACTTTCCCCTAGTAGACGCATTTTAAAACCTTGAGGCGAAACTCAAAAGGGAAAGCCCAAAGAGGACAATATCTGTTAGCGGTAGATCTGAGTCGTTACTACCAGTCTTCTTGCCCTTCCCTGAAGGGGGGAGGGGTAGACACAAGGCGGTGTGCCAGTAAGGACGCTGGCCCTAAAAGGGGGTGGATTTGGTGGGGTCCTACATCGATTGGAGAAAGGAACGAGTGCCAGCGAGGACGCTGAGCCCCGAAGGGGAGTGAATTGTGACCTCCCACATTGGTTGGGGAGGAGAACAAACTACCCTTTGTGAGGGTGTGGAAACCTTATTCTAGCAAACGTTTTTTAAAGCTCGGAGGGAAAGCCCAAAAAAAAGGATAATATCTGCTAGTGGTGGATCTGGGCCATAAGACGACAAATAAGTTGAAGCATCGAAGGACATATCGATGTGTGTGTGTGTGTGGGTGGTCAAACCATTCTCTCTATGGAGGACATCAGCCTTCATTTCAGCTCGTCAAAAAACAAGAAACAACGTTAGTTTGGTTGCTTTTGTTATCATCTTTGTTTGTTTGATACTTTAAATGTCTTTTTTAAGGTTAGCTATTGAGATTAACCCACTTTTATGTTTGTTGATCGGCTCGAATCCAAGCTATTTTGTGAGCATATCTCTTTCATCGTATGACAGGCGGTGTATACAGGGTTCGGGTACATATTCACCACGACATGCTGATCAATAATTACTAGCGATTCCAACTTCATGTTCTCGAGTTACAGAGAACAATTCAGACTAAGGCAGTCTTTCCAGATTCACTCCGCCTTACAACCTTTCTTCCCATTGTACTTGCCATTATAGCACGTTTGTGACCCAATCCATAAGGGTCATCTATCATAAATATTGTCACTATCATCCATATCGTCACTATCATCAATATGAAAATTTCGCTTCATAGACTATCAAATTTTGTTCAAAGTACGTTTATACTAGGCATTGATCGAGTTATATGATCCTACAATCAGACCAATCTGAAGATAGGGTCACAACCCAACTCAACCGGAACCTACCCTACCAACCCTACTTTTACATATATTAAGAATATTTAACATTTGTAGCCGATGTTAGTTATATGTTGTGACCGTAAATGTTTGATATTTAAACTTTATAAGATTTCAGTTATTAATATAATATATATTACGGATAAGTTGAATTTTTTTAATAATTAAAAAAAAAAACAACCTACACGAAACTAGAGGGTTGAATTAGGTTGAGTCAGTGAACTCTAATAGAGTTGCTCGAGACACCAACTCTATATTTTTTAAAGTTTCAGAATATTTTATTAAAGAATACTATTTTTATTAATTTAGTGGTCTCGTAAATAAACGACATAAAACTTTTTTAAAAAATTAAAAATAAAATAAAATAAATTTTATTTTTATTTAGACAAATATATTTAAATAAACTTTTTTTTTTCATAATATATCAAATAAAGAAATTAAAATAAAATACTTTTTAAATGTGTGATGATTAAAGTGGAAAACTAATGAAGTAAAGTCAAAAGCAAATATTTTTATTCAAACCAAAAAAAGCAAAAAGAAATAATTTAATAAAAAAATAAATACTTTTTGGAAATGTAAATTTTTACCATTTTAACCTTTTCCCGAATACCAATGTAACATGTTACACCAAACTTTATGTTATAACAATTATAATTTCATCCAATTTTGATAATAATTTTTAAAATCATTTTAAAATTTTAAGATAAAGAAGTAAAGCGAGTAAATTATTATAAATTAAAATTTATAGATTAAATTGTTACTTACGTTCAAGTTTGGCTCATAATTATCGTTGTCAGTCTCACAGTTTTAAAATATGTCTGTTAAATAGAGATTTCTACAGCCTTATAAAGACGCTTCGTTCCCCTTCTCCAATATGAATAGGTATAATATTCCGACTTGTCCACTTAATTTTATATATAAATATATATACAATGTTTTCACGGTTGGTCCAAAAAGTGTCCCGATCATTAATGAATGCATGTTATGGTTATATTACCTACTTTTCTTCACGTGTTTTTAAGAGTGAAAACTATCCACAAACCAACTTGGGTGTTTTTAATATGTTTTACTCTCACTCGTATGCTTCCTAGAAAATTTTTATGTAGGCCTCAAGATCTCGTTTTCCGTTTTAATTCCTATTTGAAATATGCTGCCATGATTTGCTTTTCGATTTGAACAAATGTAAATGCATATTTGTCGAACTTTCTTGATTGGTCAAGCCTAGGCAACCTTCCACCCTCTTCCTGGTTCGGGCTCGACCTTCCACTTGGGATCTGTAACTCTGTGTATTAATCTAAATGAATAAGACTATTTGAATCTCAAATCTTTTAATCGAGAGTATTACTAAATTAGGACGAGCTTTCATATCCACAGACCTTATATATATATATATATATATATATTTTTTTTTGAAAGAAAAAAAAAAAAAAAAAGTTTGTTTGTTGGGAGATGGTGGGTCCCACAGAAAAATTTTCAAACCCGTGGGCCGTGGCCCAGTCCACTAGATTTTCTCCTCGCCGCTTCAATTATTATCGCCGATCGCCCCTCTCCTACCTCTACGCTCTAAATCAAATCAATTTAGAAATTAAAAATATATAATATAAATCGATTAATGAATTTCATTATTTACTAGATTAAAATATAGAAAATATTCCAATTTTTTAATTATTTCATTAAAATAATAGAAAAATCCAATACGGATCTCCACAATGGTATGATATTGTCCACTTCGAACATAAGCTCTCATGCTTTGCTTCGGGCTTCCCAAAAAGTCCCGTACCACTGGAGAGAGTATTTTTTTATTATAAACCCATAAACATTCCCTAAATTAGTCGATGTGGGGCTTTCATCATGTGAAAATGTCTCTAACAGACATATTTTAAAATCCCGATACATGTAAAGTCCAAAGCACATGATATCTATTAACAAACGGCTTAAAGTGAAATTTTTAAAAATTTAAAATTATTTTAAAATTGATAGAATATTAAACATAAATTAATTAAAATATATATATATATATATATATATATAAACATATACCTTCCGTACAAGGTCGAGGCTCGCAGGTCGGCTTGGAGTCAGCGGCTAAGAAGCTAGCCCTAAACGTTCATTCATTTTCAAAAGGAATCTTACAGTCACAGGATATATGTCACAGGCGCGTGATTTTATTCTTTCTCCCGCCTCCTCCTCCATTTTTAACCTCCTCCATTTTCAAACTTCAAACCATAATCTTCTTCTTCTTCCCAATTCTCAACACTGAACCAAACCCAGCAGCCCCACCATCTCTGGCTCTCCTTCAACCACCGCCGCCATGGAATCCACACAACCACCGCCGCCACCACCACCAGCAGCGGCAGCAGCAGCAGCCTCCCCCATTTCCACTCCCAAACCCCCATTTCCATCAAAGAAAAGCTTCGTCTCTTCTCTAATGGAGGTCGCCACTCTCCGCTCCCCCTCCTTCAAAGAAGACACCTATTTCATTTCCCATCTCAAATCCTCCGAACGAAAAGCCCTCCAAGACCTAAAAAACAACCTCTCCGCCGCCACAACCACTACCACCACCACCGATTCTCCCTCCATGTGGGGCATTCCCCTCTTATCCGACGACGAACGCGCCGACGTTATCCTCCTCAAGTTCCTCCGTGCCAGAGATTTCAAAGTCCCCGATTCACTTACCATGCTTCAAAAATCCCTCCAATGGCGATCGGAATTTGGCGCCGACGGTATTCTCGATGAAGACCTAGGGTTTAAGGAGCTTGAAGGAGTCGTCGCGTATATGCAGGGCTACGATAGAGAAGGACACCCCGTTTGTTACAACGCTTATGGGGTTTTCAAGGACAAGGAAATATACGAAAAGATCTTCGGCGATGATGAAAAGCTTAAGAAATTTCTCAAATGGAGAGTTCAGGTTTTGGAACGAGGGATTAATCTCCTCGATTTCAAGCCTGGTGGGATTAATTCGTTGATTCAAGTTACTGATCTTAAGAACATGCCCAAACGAGAGCTGCGAGTAGCGTCCAATTCAATTCTCTCGCTGTTTCAAGATAATTACCCTGAATTGGTTGCTCGTAAGGTACTTTTAGCTCTTGATTTCTCTGAACCATTTGGATTTTTGAGTTATGATTAGAAATCTGAACCGATTTTTCCCGTTTTTGTTGATCTGGGCGTTTAGATTTTCATCAATGTGCCTTGGTACTTCAGTATTTTGTACTCAATGTTTAGCCCCTTTTTAACTCAACGAACGAAGAGCAAATTCGTCATCGCTAAAGAAGGCAACGTTGCCGAAACCCTTTACAAGTTAGTCCGTTCATCAAAATCTCTCCCGTTCTTCCAAATCTCTCTGTTTCTTGCAATAAAAAATGGGTTTCGTTTCAATTTTCGAAACAGGTTCATTCGACCGGAGGACGTTCCGGTGCAATACGGCGGCCTGAATCGCCCAAGCGACTTGCAAAATGGACCCCCAAAACCGGCGTCGGAGTTCGCCGTGAAAGGCGGAGAGAAAGTGAACATTCAAATAGAAGGGATTGAGGTTTGTTTCCCATCATAATCACTCAAAACCCCCTTTCAATTTCACCCCCTAAAACTCAAATTCAACAGGGAGGCGCCACAATCACGTGGGACATCGTCGTTGGAGGCTGGGAATTAGAATACAGCGCCGAGTTCATCCCAATCGCCGACGGCAGCTACACCATCGCCGTGGAGAAGCCAAGGAAAATTTCAGCCAATGAAGAAGCAATTCACAACTCATTCACCACAAAAGAACCCGGAAAGATGGTGATCTCCGTCGACAACACCGCCTCCCGGAGGAAAAAGGTCGCCGCCTACCGTTACATAGTCCGGAAATCAACAGCCATCTAAACAGCGAAAGGGTAATTTGATTCTGTAATGGTTTATCTCTGAATTGGGTTTTTGTTTTAGGTGAGATTTAAATGAATGAGTTAATTACAATTATTAGTTGGGTTTTGTGCTGATTTTGAGAACTGGGAACTGAGGTGATGTTTAGCTGTTTGTTCATATATGAGTAAAGGGGAAAGGTTGTTCTTCATATGTGGAGTTGTTGCAGATTTGTTGTTGTTTTTGTACAGAAATGGTTGGGTTTCGTTTGTTCTTGAAAGAAGCAAATGATGATGAAAAGAAAAAGGGTATATGGCAGTGGGGACGATAGCGGTGGGGTGCGTGGGGAAGTGCTTTTGTAAGTGTCAGAATGGAAAGCGTCTAGAAATGGGCCTTCTATTTGAAGGGGGGAGAGAGAGAGAGAGAGAGAGAGAGAGACAGAGTGAGTGACAGAGACAGACAAACAGAGAGAGAAACAGAGAGCAGGAGAGAGAGGGAGAGAGGCAGAGAGAAACAGAGAGCGGGAGAGAGAGGCGGAGAGAAACAGAGAGCGGGAGAGAGAGGCGGAGAGAAACAGAGAGCGGGAGTGAGAGAGAGAGGCAGAGAGAAACAGAGAGCGGGAGAGAGTTTAGTTTCTCTACACCTGACTAACGGATTTCGGGTTCGAATATTTTATGCTAAGGATGGTTTCGGTTTAGTTGGCTAAGACACGTGTCATGAGGTCAGAAGTTTGAATCTCTGTAAGCTCGACCAAAGGACGAGAGCCAAGAAATTACAATAAGATTTGTACGCTTATATTCAAGTTATGGTAAGTTGAAATTGTAAAAGAGCTTAAAGACCTTACTTATACGTGGGGTAAAGTTGCATGAAGTACACTTTAATTTGCACTCAAGGAACTCAAAGTTGAATTTATGGAACTAATTGGTTAATAAGCACATTATTTAATTATAATTTAAATATTTATTTGTTCGGTTTAAACTAGTTTTTAACACAAAAGTTAAAATTATATTCGTTACCATATTCCATCGTTAACGAGCCATCATGGGTCACATAGGTTAAGGTTGTCAAAAACTATATAAAATCTTCCCTTTTGAGTAGACATCCCATTTTAGAATTAAAAAAAAAACCGAGTTTCTATTTTAACTGTGTGGAGACTAAGCTTTTGGTCGGTAAATTCTTGTGCTTGTAACTTGTACGATGCGAAAGTCATTCAAGTGGTATGGATCATGATATAAAATGATATAAAAAGAATGATATTAAAGGTTATATTAATTTACCAACAATTTTCTATAAAAGAAATTTGAAACAAACAAACCAACAAAAGAAAATAAGATCCTTAGTTCTTCTTCTTCTTGCCCTTCGCCATTGCAGTGCCGCTTTCGCGAGCTTCAATTTCATAGAAAAACTTGGGCGCTTTCTGATTGTGGCTCAAACTCCTAGTGGTTCGTGAAATCCCCATCATTGAATTCACTCTGTTTAATCCTTTTACACCCTTCCGATCTTCCTTTGATTCTCTATTCACTGATTCACCTTCTTCTTCTCCTATTTTTCTGTCGATCCCCATGGATCTACAGCTTCTTGAAACTGCCAGTTCCGGATGGCTTCTCATGCTCCGCCGCCCTACGTTCGTCATTGATTTGCTCAGCAATGGTGGATTCTTGAAGAACAAGCAAATCACTGTACAGTCGTCGATCGTCAACCCTATAAATTTGCGTTTCCATTCTCGTGCTGCTAGTTTCACTACTAATTTCGCCGCCATGGATCGGTTCTTTGCTGAAGCAACTATGTTGATTACTTGCTTGTTCGTCAGTACATCCCAGATCTGCGAGTTCGTGGTAAGAGTTGAAAAATTAGCGTTATCTTTAACAATGCCGAATAGGTTTCTTTTGATTTTGTCTTTAAATTTTGACTCACTCCATCTGTTGCTAGAACGATGAACTCGTCTTTTCTTGTGAGTTTTCTGTAGGCGACTTCAGGGGTTGGGATGAGGCCGTAATCCTTGAGGCAAAAATCTCCAAAGGATCTTGACATGGCGAGGCCAGGATAATCTGCATCTGGTACCCATACTCTGAAAATATCTGGTTCTTCTTTATCTGCTGTGATTCTCCCCTGGCATTTCTTTATTCTTTCTGCTTCGCCTGTTTCACATTCAAAACATAATACTCAAGATTAATGGATAGATACCAAAAGGTCATAGGTTCAAGTTTTCACACTTTATTAGAACCAAAAAGAAATTGATCGATGCCCAATGGATCGAGTATAATTCAATTGGTTATCACGTTATATCTTCAACTAAAAGTTCGTAGATGTTGAGGATTGTTGAGAGAAAGTCCCGCATTGGCTAATTAAGGAATATATCTCACCAAAAAGCGCACAGCCACGAGAGCTTATGCTCAAAGTAGACAATATCATACCATTGTGGAGGTCCATAGTTTCTAACATGGAATTAGAATCATGCCCTTAACTTAGCAATGTCAATAGAATCCTCAAGTGTCGAACAAAGAAGTTGTGAGTCTTGAATGTGTAGTCAAAAGTGACTAAAGTGTCAAACAAAAGGTGTACTTTGTTCAAGGGCTCCAAAGAGGAGTCGAGCCTCGATTAAGAGGAGGCTATTCGAGGGCTCCATAGACCTCAGGGGAGATTCTATGGTGTACTTTCTTCAAGGGAAGGATCGTTGAAAATGGTTGGGAGCTAGTTAAGGAAATGATTATAGGTTTATAAGTAAGGAATATATCTTGGTATGAAGTTTCTTGGTAAAACCAAAAGCAAAACCATGAGAGCTCAAAGTAGACAATATTATACCATTGTGGAGGTCTGTGGTTCCTAACCAGATTCAAATAGCTTGGATAACAACATAAAAATCTGCTAAATTGTTCATTCCTTTGTGATCTTCTGAATGAATTATTTGCCATCATTTGTCTTATCTCAAAATTTTGTCTCAAATTTGATAAGATAGAGTTCTTATTGCATAAACAATACCCACTTGGAACATTTGGTTTCTGGTCAGCTGTTAATTGGATGGGAATATGCTGATGGTTGTCTCCTCTGGTGCAAAGAACCGCCCGGGAGTCACCCACATTTGCAACCACCAAATGCTCTCCCTGATGATCAAAAGGGTCAAGATAATGAAGAATGGCTTTTCATTTTCCTAGAAAATTTGAGACAGAGGATGTTATTTTCCGGGAAAGTTTTGAAGTAATCACCTGTTTGATAATGGACATGGCTGTTGTTCCACTGCAGAAACAATCAATAGATGAATCAAAGCCGAGGTCTCGATCAAAATCCGTATAAGCTTCTTCAAAAGCAGCTTCCCATCTTGAAACCAATGGATTTCGTTGATTTCCTTCATTGTTGTTTGGTTGAACAGAAGCTTTAGAAACCCCATTTTGGAGATGTGATGGCCGCCGCTGCTTTTTGATAGCCTTGGAGAGCTTGGAGGGCAGCATGTCTCGTGCATGGCGAGCAACCCTATGACCAAACGGACCATGGCCATCAAAAACTCCAGAAAACACCAAACCTTTCTCCCCTGAGAAATCCTGTAAGTTTCTGATTCAACTCTCTTTGAATACATTCGACACAAAAATCATATCCCAAACAAGATCATTCCAAATTTTGCTTTTACCTCCCAAACCGTCATTGCATCTTGATTGATTCCTTTTCTTCCTCGTTGAGTATACATTGATATGAACGCAGAGGATCCATGGAGTCGAACGATGGCTCCGTCATCGCCACGACGAATCTCTGCTCCATCATCTCCCCGGTTGGAATCCCTCTCATCCTTGTCATGGGTCATGTACTCTCCTCCTCCTCCTCCTCCTCCTCCTCCTCCTCCTCCATTGATTGAATCTTTTGTGCAGCAGGCTCCCATTTCTGAGACACCCTCCACCAGGGGAATCTCAAAAAGGAATTTGAGCCACCAGAAGAGATCAAATACCCACAAATTTTCTGGGGAAGAATCTGTATTAAAGCATGGAAAGATCGGAGGGTTCTCTGAATCTGAACCCAAAGGGAGCAGAAACAGAGAGGAGAGGAGAGGAGAGGAGGAGATAGAGAGATAATGAAGTGGAAAATGTTGTTAAGATGAGAATGTGGAATGAAATTCAACAAACAGAATTATATTTAGAAAATCATGGATGATGGTGTCTTGTTGACATTTGTGTTTAGTGGGTTCGCTCTTCCAATTCTTGACCTTATTAACTTGATTATCTATATGTTTAATGGTTCAAGTTTAAGGTTAATGGTTGCTTAAATAATATTATCGGTTCCTTCGTTATAATGGGATTATTTTAAATTATGGTGTTTCTCATTATCATCCCACCACTGCTACAGGAATTCAAAGGGAGATAGTTTAGCGGTAATTAATAGGTATTATTAGTGTAACAGTCGTCATTATGATTTTTAAGTCCAGACTTGTAAGTAGAGTTTTAAGCCATGCCAATCTTCTTCCCATGATAGACCACTTAGATTCAAGTCTATAAGTTGTGACAATGTTTCCATGAAAACTCTACTTTCTACTGCAACGGAGGATTCCTTTAACCTAGTCACTATCATATGTGAGATTCTACATCGGTTGAGGAGGAAAACAAAGTATTCTTTACCAGAGTGTAGAAACATCTCCTAACAGAGGCGTTTTAAAAATCACCTGTAAAAAAAAAAGCGAGAAAGGACAATATTTGTTAAGAATGAGCTTGAGTTGTTACAATTAGACTTCCCTAGTGCCAAATATGCAACCTTTTCTCTTTTTGAGTAAAAAAAAAAAAAAACAAAACAAATAAAAACCTATAAGCTTATAAAATTAAAAAATAAATAATAAAAAATATCCAATAGACTTCTAAATTATTAATTTTATATCCAATGAGTTTATGAAATTAAAAATGTTAACGGGTTCCTAAACTTTCATTTTTGCATAAAGTTTAAGGACGTGACCTAGGTCCATGAACGATTGAGTAGTTTGCTCTTGAACTTTCTCTTTATTCTGTTTCGGTTGAAGTGGAAACTCTTCTCGACCTCCTGTGAGCACCCAATTTCATATTCCTTCAATTTGGGGTATGCTACCCACAAGAGAATCAAATCGATTTAGGGTATGCTACTCACAAGAGAATCAGGTCGATCAAGTGTTGATTTTGCGTCTGCTACTTAGTCTTAAGTTTAGTTAGCATCTGGTAACCTCGCCTATCTATAACTTCTTTCTTTCCCTTCGAACTTCACTATCTGTTTATCGGGAATCCCTCCTATTAGAAATTGGTCCTCTGGCATTTAACAATACTCACCTGTTGTAATGTTAGTTAGTTTTATCAGTTGATAAGTCAAAAAAAAAATATATCCAAGCAACCAATTTTCCATTCGAAATATAAATAGATAATGGGCAACAGATGCAGGCCAAGCACTTGAGATATCATCATTCCTGGCTCGAATTGGACTAATCCAAGCTGTTCATACTCAGCCACACTTTCCAACTCAAAAGTAAAACAGTTCTATAATCTATGGAACATATCCTGTTTCAAACAAGCTCCATTTCAATGGCTACAGCTGAAGCAGAAGAAGAAGACATGATTTTCAGTTTCATAGAAGACACAGAATGTTTATACACCAACAGGGAGATGTGTAAAATCAGCACAACTTTTAGATTTGCAGAGCTTAAACAATGTGATTCTAGGAAATAATCATGTTAATGAGATATGGTTTCAAAAGAATGTTATTCAAAAAGAAAGAATGTATTTTGTGTTTGTTGTTACCACCATTGATGAACCAGAACTCCACTTTGTCTGAGAGAAGAAACCAACTCTATGCATTGAGAATATGTTTTCTCATACTTTGTACTCCTTTGTCCTGGGCAACACCTCTGCCATCTATTGTAATGGCATTCAAGAAACATCTCATCTATCAAACAGATCGCTCCCGTCTCGAAGAGTTTCGGAATCAACTCGAACTCGGTTCCTTCCACGTCCATCTTCAACACCACGAAATCCTTCTCTGATACTGTGTTCTTCAACCAGTTGGCAAAATCAAACCCTTGAATCTGATTAACCTCTCCATCGAAACGACCCGAAGATCGGACAGGTTGAATCCTGCCCATTCCTCTGCTGCCTTTCTCTTCCTTTTCCTTACCTGGGTCTTTGTTGATCTCAAAGGATAATGTCTCATTCCTTACCCAAGCAGCATAAGGCAACAATGTCACCCCTTTCTTTGAACTATACTGTTCATGAAATGTTTGATCAGCTTCAATGGCATAAACTTCAAAGGTTTTGTTCTGCTTTGGATATTGCTTCTTGAACCAACTCCCAATACTGGAGCCATAGCTTCTAGCTCCAACATCCACATAGACATACCTATGTTTGAAGCTTATTTCAGCCATGGAAGGCAAATACTTAATGTTCTGTATATTTCTCTTTAAGGTTAACCATGGCTTCAATGGCTCCTCTAGAATCAGAGGCTCAGCATTTCGAACCAGAGACAGCTTAAACCCAGGAACAGAGCAATTCTTCTTGTAAGAATCTCCATCCACTAATCCCTTTTCAAGAATCTTGTTCTCTTTTTTCAATACATATTCACGAATTAAAGGCATTGATGGAAGAAGAACATCTATATCTTTTGATCTAACTATCTTGCAGCAATTGAATAAATCAACGAATGAATTGAAACTATACGTATCTTTAGAACTCACATGGACCACCGCAAACCCTTCGGGTTTCAGTATCCGAGCAATCTCCGAAGCAAAATCATACGCCCGACGTGAAATATCCAATCGGCCACCGCCGGAGAACACGAAGTCGAAGGTCTTATCCTCGAACGGAATCCGATGAGCCTCGCCCTTAATCACGAGAGGCTTCAACGCCTTCTTGAAAATCCCGACCGAGTCCGAAACCCCGATCTCCTTTAACGCCGACACATCCGCTCCTGTTGGAGTATCAATGCACAAGGATTTCGAATTTGCCGATACGTAGCCCTCGGTAATCAGATCTTGGAAAACGGAGGAGTAAAACTGGACGGTTTTGATCCAATCTTCACTCGTATATAGATCCGAACGAGAAGATCCAATGACGAGAGGATCTGCGTTGTCCGTTAACAAAGCGGAACTTCCATCTCGGCCGCCGCCGCCGCCAGCGATCATGAAATTGAAATTTTCCGGTAAAGAGAAGAAACAGAAGTCACCGATGCTACAGGATTCTCCTGCAATGGTCACAACATAGGCGAATCGACCAAGAATCACAAGAATAGAGAACAGAAGCACTCGAACCAGAAGGAACCTAAGAGAGGCGAAGTTCCCGGACATTGATCCCATAAATCTCCTTTAATCTCTTCCTGTACAGAATAAACAGAACATGAAAACAAAAGGATTGGAGAAGATAAGGAAGTCAGAATGAAATTGAAGGTTTAGCGTGAGCAGAATCGGGAGGAGGTGTGGTTAGCTCCAATAAGGGCTCTGGCTGAAGCTCCGGCGGCGGCGGCGGCGATTGAAAAATGGAGGAAGAAGAAATGCGCGAAAGGGGAAATCATGGCCGGCGGGAAGAAATTTGAAGGAATTACAGCAGGAAAGAGGTTGTGCTGATGATATACTGATTCTTCTCTTCGCTGTGGGAAAGTGGAGATGAAAATGGAATCAGAGAGTCGACGGTGGAGATAAAAGGGAAGTGAGCAACCGGTTCAGCCGGTCACCATACGGATAGGAAGCTGATGGAATGAGAATGGAACATGAAAGTGAAGCTGCCTTTGTCTTTTAATAATGCAAAATTCCAAACTTCCAAACTTCCAATTATAAAAATGTTAGATTATAATTTAAAAAGATTTAGCCCTAAAATCATTACAAATTAGGGTTCAAGGGCGACGTATTAGTCCCTGAATTTCTCGAGCCCGACCTGCAACACCTACCTACACGGTTGAATTTCTAAGCATGATCGATGCCAGGTAGATAGGCAGCAAGCACAATTGGGTCTCGACATCGTAGATGCCTCGTTCTTTCATACATCCCTGCAAAGCCAAGCCTAAGGAACTCGACTTATATTGTTCTCGAAATTTTGAGGGTTTTAGATTCTTCTTTTCTAGTTATTGCTCCATACCCACGATTCGAATTCATATTCAAAATCTAAATTCATGGCCTCCTAACATTCCCCTACAATAAGGTCACGTTACTACTTCTTGCTTCTAAGAGTAAAAACTATCCCTATAACATGATTCCTAGAAAAATTTCTACGAGGTTAGCCAATATAAAAGTGCTCCAAGTAGGACACTTAACTTTGGAGTTGTTGTGATTGAGCTACTGAAAAAAAAGGTGCACCTTGTTTGTGTGATCTCATATCAGTTGGAGAGGAGAACGAAACATTCCTTATAAAGGTGTGGAAACCTTTGTCTAGTTGATACGTTTTAAAATCATGAAGCTGACGACGGTACGTAATGGGCTAATGTATTTGCTAACGAGGATGCTGAGCCCGCAAGGGGGTGGACTGTGAGATCCTACATTGGTTAGAGAGAGGAACAAAGCATTTCCTATAAGATTGTGAAAACCTCTCCCCCTAATAGACACATTTTAAAACTGCGAGGCTAATGATAGTATAGAACGGCTAAAGCATCTAATATCTACTAGCGGTGGGCTTGAGCTGTTACATTGTTCATATAGACAGTAACTTTCACGTGGTTTTTGTTCATTCATATACCTCTCATTTACCTGGGTATTACAAACATTTATTCTTAAAAAGTAAAATAAATGTAAAGGCTAAAAGGGGCGTTTTTTTTTTTGCAAATAATCGAAGGACTTAAAACAAAAAATTAAAAAGTTGATGACCTAAAATGAAATAAATATTAGAGTAGTTAGGATTTAAATCATAAAAAAAGATGAAATTAATAACTCCAAATAAAGTTTAGGTATTGATTAGTTAGCCATTTATTTGTCCCATTAATTAAAATTGAATTCCTTTTAGTCCCTATCTTAAATAACTAGCTTACCCCCCAAGCAATAAAATAGTATTATAATTTCTTTGCTGATGTCATCCATGAATGAAATTACATATTTGCCCTTACTTTTCTTTAGAACATTTAAAATTTCCCTATTATTATTCCCTCATCTTCTCACATCCTTACAAAATTCTTGGTATAACCTCCAATAATAATAATAATAATAATAATAATAATAATAATAATAATAATAATAATAATAATAATAATAATAATAATAATAATAATAATTTTAAAATTATTATTATTATTATTGATATTGAGAATGTTTAAATAATGAAAGTTATCTTATTTATAATCAAATAAATTACAAGAATATAAAAAGAGTAATAAATGAAACATGAAGACAAATATCTAGATATTTACATTATAATAAAATATCAAATATGATATATATGGTAAATTAATAATAATTATTATTATTTTTATTTGTATTGAAGTACCGAATGAAAAAATGTTTATTTTAAAAATATAAATAGTTATTTTTAAATAAAATATTAACCATTTTCATAATTATATTTTTAAGTTTCGAAAGTTTAATAATATTATTAAAATTTTTAAATGTTATGTAAGACGAAACTAAGTTTAAAGAAATTTTATTAAGGTTAAATTAATAAAAATATTTATAAAATTTTAATAATACCTTTAAATTTTTAAAAATATTTTTAACCATCCATTTTTTATGCAAATGATAGTCTTTTATTTCAAAAATACTCTCGAATTCTAAATAGTTTTTCAAAAATACCCTTCTAATTTTTTTTTTAAATTAAAAATACTCTCGAACTTTTAATAGTGTTCCAAAAATACGCTTCTAATTTTTTAAAAAAATTTAAAAGACTCTCGAACTTTCAACCGTGTTTCAAAAATACCTTCTAATTTTTTTAAAAAAAAATTAAAAATACTCTCGAACTTTTAATAGTGTTCCAAAAATACCCTTCTAATTTTTAAAAAAAATTTAAAAGACTCTCGAACTTTCAACAGTGTTTCAAAAATACCCTTCTAATTTTTTTAAAAAAAAATTAAAAATACTCTCGAACTTTCAATAGTGTTTCAAAAATATCCTTCTAATTTTTTTTAAAAAAATTTAAAAATACTCTCGAACTTTTAATAGTGTTCCAAAAATACCCTTCTAATTTTTTTAAAAAAAATTAAAATACTCTCGAGGTTTCAATAGTGTTCCAAAAATAAAATACCCTTCTAATTTTTGTAAAAAAATTTAAGATACTCTCGAACTTTCAAGAGTGTTCCAAAATTACCCTTCTAATTTAAAAAAAAAAAATTAATTTTTCTTTAGTATCATTATTTTAAAAGTAGCATTTTGAAATCTTCCCAAAAAAAAAACACATGAAAGCCATAAATGTTGAAATGATTTGATAAGAGCATTTAGAGTGCTTTTGTCTCAAACCATAACCAAAAAAGGGCCCTCCCTTGCCCCTCATCATACTCAATGTCCTCTCCCAAATGGACCGAAGCCTATCACTCTGTCATTCCCGGCTCTCTCTCCCGACATTTAAATAAAAGAAGAGTATGTAAATGAACTGGAACGATATCTGAATGAAGGCAATTTTGAGAACAAAATGATGTGAGATCCTATATCGGTTGGAGACGGGAACGAAACATTCCTTATAAGAGTGTGGAAACCTCTCCCATTTTAAAATCGTGAGGTTAACGAAAATACGTAATGGGTCAAGATTAAAGAATTAAAATAAAACTTTTCCAGGGAGAGAGAGGTAATTGAAATTTACCCAAAGTTTAGGGATATATATATATATATATACTAAATATATACAATTATTTTTTAAATATAATTGATTTAAAAAATAATAATTAAATACACAGTTATATTTTAGAATTTTGATTTTTTTGAAATGGGCCTTTGCATTGACCTTGGGCTGGGCCTTTGCATGGCTAGCTCGACATAACTTTGGGCCCAATAATATGTTGACCAAGTGATTTGGATGCCACGAATTTGAGTTGACCAAATTAAGGATTAGCTGTCAAACAGTTGTTGCTCTTCTCATCGTGATTCCCTCTCCCGTTGACTTCTTATTCCTCGTTGACTTTCTTTGTCTCTTGATTACTTAGTACCACTAGACAATATATATGTTTGTAAGTTTGGTGTCTTAAGTATATCGCAGTGTTTAGGCATTTTCGGTTCTCTTGTAAACAATGTCGAACCCTAATGAAAGATCATTCACCGAAATCCTTGAAACGATCTCCTCAGCTCCTCCTCCTCCTCTTGACGTTGAAAAGAAGAGTACATCTCCAGACGTCGAAAAGAAAAATACGTCTCCAGACGTCGAAAAGAAGAGTACACCAACAATTGGAGTCGAAACCGCTGCAATTATAAAGAGGAAGAAGAGAGAAGACACGTTAAAGAAAAGCTCTTTGGTTTTGAGATGGCTATGTTTTATATTTTCGTTTCTCGCTTTTGTTCTCATGGCCTCCAACAGACATGGAAGAGGTCTTAATTTTGAAGACTACGAAGAATACAGGTATCGTATGGATACTTTTATTTCTATCGAGTTCTTGGGTCGAACAATAATTTAAAAAGATATTAGAACACACGATCTAGTAATGAACCACCCCTTGAATTAATAGGGTATTAAAAGAGAGAAAAAAAATACAAGAACGGAAGAATGGTTGAGTCATAAATTGAAGCTAAAAAGATAGAATATATCAAATAAAGATGATCTATGGAGTGTTGATAAACAGTTTATATCCGTATACTAACGGTAAGAACTTGTAAAACATATTTCTAATAATTTAAGAATATTAATGCTAGTTTTAAAAGTCAGGAGTATTTTAAAAATGTGGTACTTAGGATTCCGTTCATATACTAACGATAAAAGTATTTTTAAACTTTTTTAAAAAGTTTATTTTTTAATTGGTTAAAAAAAGTTCTAACGGAAAAATTGAAATACCAAGAATATTTAAAAAAATAAATGTATAGTATGCTGACTAGTTGAAGTATACTCAGTTTCTCGATTCTCACTAAATGGCAGTTACTTGGTGGCAATTGCGATAATCTCAAGCGTATATTCGGTCTACCAAGGAATTCGAGAAGTTATCCAACTTGTTAATAGAAAACCTACATTTTCTCGACCCGTATTTGCCACCATTGACTTTATCGGCGATCAGGTATTTGATCTTGGTTTTAAATCGTTACATACCTAATTTTAACACGGGCATGAATCAACCAAACGGGTTCAAATGGTTATTGTTTTTATGTTGTTGGTGGTGACAGATTTTGGCATATTTGTTGATATCGGCGGCATCAGCGGCAGTTCCAAGGACGAACTATGCTAGACAAAATTCTGACAACTCCATGTTGATGAAGTTTGTAGACATGGCCTCAGCTTCCATTAGCATGGCTTTCTTGGCCTTCTTCACATTAGCTCTATCTGTTCTTATTTCTGGATATCAACTCGCTGCTCACTTTTTCATCTGATTTTCGTATCGTTTCATCGACCATACCCTAATTTTTCTTGTTCCGTTGAGTGAGTATTTGCTCGTTTTCGGTCGATCTTCATTTGTATTTATTTAAACATTGTTTGATGATGTTTTCGGTTGTAGTTTTTTGTTTTCAAAAGTTGTGGTTGACTTTTCTCGTGATTTCTTTGTGTATCTTTTAGAATCAAAAGGAAGTTTTTTTTTTTTTTTTTTTTTTTGGTATGAACTTATAATTTTTTGATTCGATTAGTTTATGAATGTAATAATAGTAGAAAAAATTGGATTATTTGATGCATGGGTAACATGTAGCATGTGGATTATATAATATGTGTTCTTGATCGGTTATGATTTTGTATGAATATGTAAAACGTTATACGAGGTACTATCGATATGAACATGTGTATGCTATACGAGACACCATCAATACAATTATGTATAGTTATTCGAGACACCATGAACTATAAATGTTTATACCATAGGATGGAAATACAATGATTATGAATGTATTGAAAGAATAGTCATGAAATGCATAAAGAAACCAACGTGCATCATATCACTAAGCTTATGGTTTAAATTACGAAACCTGTATACTCACGTAATCATGAATTACTTCTCCAGTTATGTATTGTACAGGCTTGTATACCCATAATATTATTGGTATTCCTTCCTTTCCTCCATTTTCGACAGCGTGAGCGTGCGATAGCTCATCGTCAAGTCTAGGGTGAATGTTAATGAGCCCACCTAATTGGTTTATGGGCAAGTACATGAACCATTCCGCTTTTTTTTTCTCTCTCTTTTAAATCAAACTCTTCCGCCTTTTCATACCAAACATTTTCGACTTCCGCTTTTTTTTCTATTACATCTTTCATAGCATATTTTTCAGAATGCTATTATCAAAAGTTATACGGTAAATATCTTGTAGTGTAAAGAGAAGTACTACACATTCAACTCTAATCGAAAATGAAAGTAGAGTCTAAAGACAGTCATGAATTTAAGTCAACATTTTTCCGAGCCTAGCTGAGAGGTCACTTATTGAGTAATTTTAAACACTCATTCTTTTCCTAACATTTTTTAGATAAAAGCAAGGAACCACTAACCGGATGACGACTTCTATTGTGGAAGCCATGAGACAACGTTTACTTCTAGGTAGTTTCTTTTCACGATGAATAAAGTTTTGTGTTAGCTTAGATTTACGTGACAGTTTATCTAGCTCGAGAGAGTAACTTGAGTCACCGTGCTATAAAAGAAAGAGAAAAAAAAACTATGTCTGTATAACATTAATATATATATACTGTTATAAATGTCCCAGAACCAAAGAATTTCACTGTACTAAGAAAGGAGGGCCACTATAATATATGGGGCCACAACACAAGTATAAGGTGAGACAGAAAAGAAATATGCATGAGACGCTCTACTACAAAAAGTATGTAACATACCAAAATCTAAGCCATTCCAACACCATTTACATTTGCCAAGATTTTACTAAATACCATGAAAAACTGCTTGGTCCAGCTCTTGTTGATCCTACCTTGTATCGTATCTCATTCTCGTCATCGTATACCGTTCATGTGGCGGGTTGTGTAATGCTTTGTCGATGAACATTTGAGGACATGTGACGGCTGCTTTACATACATGAAGCTTAGAGAAGATGAACACTAAACTACTGAAATTACCATTGATGAGAGAAATCTCAACCCAGTTCATGGTAGATCAGCGATGGAGTATTTATGGATTGAAGCTTAAGTTTATTCAGAATCACTCCAACTATCACTATCATCTTCATCACTTCCAGCCAATGCCTGTTTAATAGTTCCAAATAAGTTCCATTTTAAACAGAGAGACGGTCGGGGTCGGGGAGAAGGTAAAGAGATACCTGGCGAATTGCATTTGCTTTCTCCAAGATAGCAGACATCCTCAAATTGGTTTTCGGACCCTGCACGCTCGGTCTTGTTACGGCTGCGGGCTTCAAGCTGAAGGACTGAAAAGTACAATCAGAATATTTTGTTAGCTAAGTCGTAACAGCTCAAGTCCACCGCTAACAAATATTGTCCTCTTTGAGCTTTTCCTTTCAAGCTTTCCCTCAAGATTTTTAAAACGTGTCTGCTAGGAAGAGGTCTCCACACCCTTATAAAGGATGTTTCGTTCTCCTCCCCAACCGATGTGGGATCTCACATAAGTACTAGTAATACAAGCCAAAGTTAACAAGAGAAAAGTTCAGTTTCAACCTTCGTTCGAATCTGTGCTAGCAGTGAATCTCTTTCATCAACCTTGGGTCCAATTTCAGGAAGTATCCGATCAGAAACTTTTCTCAACTGCAAATTGGTTAAGAAAGTTAATTCAAGCTCATCATCACCAAAAAAGTTCACAAAATACGTAATGAAATATTATCAAACCTTGCTTTTATCGTGGGCAGCAACAGCATCAATAAGAGGGCTTCGTGGACGAAGTAGCTTACTAGAAATACGTCGATTTCCATTCGGCATATCGACCCCAGAGGTTGATGGCACAAGAGGTGTGTTAGAAGATGAAGCTAGTTCTTCCTCTGTAGTTGGCAAATCGTGCTGAGATTGATCGTTCTTCACGAATGACATCGGCGCCATAGCATGGGAGTTTCTTTGTTCCCCTTCAAAATCCTGTGATAAATGATGAGATATATCAGGCCTTAATACGGTTTCTGATGCTGAGTAACTAAACGGTCGGAATGACTGCCCATTTGAAGATCCACTATCGCTTTTACAATTTAAATCGTCATTTGTTCGTCCTACTGAAGGCAGTTTCAAATCAGACTGTACTTTTTCTCCATCAGACTTGAGAGAATCATGCTCTGTAATTTCCGTGGACATTGACGGTAATGATAAAAACGGATTATTACACTGTTTCACCATGGTAGCAGAACTATATTCAAGGTTTTCTTGGCTACTCATGGGCAATGAGAATGGAGAAGGTTGCGTTGCGGTATGTACCACATGACCAGATTCATGTGTGAGCTTATTATCATGAAAAGGGCTCTCGGGTTGTAAAGTCGCTGCACTTGATGATCCTAAACATGTACCCGTCTCTTCAGATTTTGATGGTAATATCAATTCAAATGGATCCTCAGGTCTAGGTGGGGCAGAAAAAGCATGTTGAACCTTCCCTAACCTCCACTGCATTGGAGGTAGAGGGGGCAGTGGTGGTATCTCATTCAAACCGACTTGAGGTACCTCAGGCAGCAGGACGTAGCTAGGTAAGACGGGCTGTAATGTATCCATTGTAGAATCAGTCCTATCGCAATCGCTAATAGGATGTTGTATATATAACTCTGATAAAGAATGTGCAGCTTGATTTGTTGCTTCATTAGGTTTGCATTTAGGCTGTACCAGTTGGACAGGATTTGAAGACTTTACCAGTTCAACTTTTTCTTCATCTAATTGACCTGAAGATCGTTGTTCAAGGTGTGAAGAATTGGAAACATCAACATCTGCCTGTACAAGTTCCGTTTCCTTGTGTCTAGCTTGCAAATCTGGTGATGTAAATTCATTGCCCTCTTTAAGATCATCCTGATGGGAAGAATTGGATTCTGATTCCAAATTTTGTAGTTCCAAAGATTTTCGGTTAGAAGAACGATCATTAATAACTGAAGTACATCGGCTTTGCGTAGGCACGGGTAAATTATGAATGCCATCATTCATCCCTGAAACTGCATAGCCAGAAACCAATTCATCTTCTAAGGGATTTACTTTCTTTCCAGTTAATGATCCCAAAGAACAATCTGAAGCATCTTTAAATTCATTTTGATTTGCAGATGGATTCTCTAAGCCAGGATGATTTTCTGGTAAAGCATTCTTCATATACTCCGATACGGATAAACGACCATTCGAGGACGTGCTAACAACTTCATTCACATCATTAACAGTTGCAAATTCATCTGCTTGAAATGTTCCTGATGGAAGTTTATCTATGCTTGCATTTTCTTCATGGTTGAAATGATTTAAATTCTTGGGTGTGACTTCAGATATAGTAGCAGTCTTAGCTACAGTTGAAGTAGACAAAACCACACCATCCCCTTGAACATAAACAGTCGCAACATCGCTACAGTTTACAGAATCAACCACCTCATCTGCTCGAATCTTTTCAGTCGTAACGTCACTACAGCTAATAAAATCGACCACCTCCTTTGCTCGATCCTTTCCAGAAGCAACATCACTACAATTTACAGAGTCAATCACCTCATCTTCTCGTACCTTTTCAGCCACAACATCGCCAAAGTTTACAGTATTAACCACCGCATCTGCTAGAACCTTTTCAGTCACAACGTCACTAGAGTTCACCGAATCGACCAACTCCTCTGATTGAACCTTTCCAGTTGCAAAATTACTGTACTTAATGGAATCCTCATGATCCAGATCACCTGGCGAAGAAAGTTCATCATGGGAGGAAACAGAAATGGTAGGCAAAGTTACACCTTCTGAAGGAACCGTTTCAGTCACAAAATCTCGTGTGTCCAAATGCATCTCATGGACTGTATCATTTGGATAACGGAGTTGCGGTTCATCCAAGGTATCATCAGCTGCCGTTGTTATATCTACGCTATTTGCGTCTCTCACAGAATATGTTACATCAGTTTCTGTCAAACCATGTTCAACTTGAAGAACATCATCTGCTACATTTTCCACTTGACCCTTCAAATCCCGTGTTTGTAAGTCTTCATGTTTTGCTTCAGCTACTTCAATGTTGTCATCCTGCGATAAATCTGCTGGTAAGTTATCATATTTTCCTTCAGCTACCACTACGGTATCATCGCTTTTCAGGACAACATCATTATATTTGTCATCTGAAGAATCATTTGTAGAAGAAACATATAAAGTCTCAGAGGGTAATAAAGACATAGGAGACAATCCAATTTCTGGCAAGGCTTGCTTGTCAATAGCTCTATCATCCTGGTATTCTTTTTGCAGCATTGTATCCTTGACCTTTCCTTCCGGTTCAATCTCAACAGCTTCCCCCAAGACATTTGAAAGATGCAATGAATTT